TTTTTAAAGGCATACAATATACAGTATAAACATAAAATCACATGAGAAAATTACAGGGATCAAATTTATAACAGAGGTTAGCTCTTGCATAGGGGTAGCTGTGAGGCTGAGGGAGATTAAAATCAAGCAGGGATATATACATAAAGGGAGTTTCAGTTATATCTGCAGTAGTATATTATTTCCTTAAAACAGAAAGTGAAGATCTGAAGCAAATATTGTGTTCAAAACTGTTAAGATCTGACAAAACTGGGTGGTAAGATGTGTGAATACATTTTTATATTACTTCTTTTCTATATGCTTAAATTTTTTTTTAATGTGTGCATGGTACTGGGGATTGCACCCAGGGTATTCTCACAGAGTGATATCCCAATACCCCATCTCTTCTTTTTGACATAGGGTATTGGTACGGTGCCTAGGCTGGGCTCAAAGTTTTAATCTTCCTGCCTCAGCCTCCTAGGGTAATGGGATTACAGGCATATACCACCATGCCCAGTTCAATATTTTGTAATTAAAAAAAAAAAAGCTTATTCAAAGCACAGTTCAAGTCACTGGCATGATTTGTAAAGTTCTGGTTCCGAAGTTTCAAAATATGTTTAAGTGGTATAATAAACAAAAAAAATATTGAGATCTACATTTAGAAACAAACAAAAAGACCAGCCCACCTGAACATGTTTCTAGATGAAGCACTGCACATACCTGTGAGGGCTAAGTAAGCTGCAGTATACCGCTTTTCCAGTCCATCTCTAATACTCTGAATTGCACCAAAAATTGGAGGTATGATCATAATCAGGTTACTGACTGTATTCCCTTTAAAAAAAAAACAAAAGAATACATTTAAATTAATCAGTAATACTTTAAATAAAGATCCATTCACTTACAACTTAACAATAATTAAATAGGTGACTTTTCAGAAAGATGATGTCAAGGTGCTGAAGAAAAATAATTCTACACTCAGTTAAAATGTCTTACAAGAATCCATATAAAATAAAGATGCTTTCTAACAAATGAAAGTAAGAATTTTCCACAGCACACCTAAAAAACAAAATTCTTAATTCTAAAAGTAAGAAAGAAAAAGATGAGAGAAAGGAGCCCAGAGTTACAGCAATAATGAGTTGAGGAAGGCAGTCCACACCAACCCTACACCAAGGCTGGTCCATGGTCCCTGACAAGATACATGCAGAACTGAGCTATTCTGTCTATGGAATTGAAAAACAACAAATTGGAGTTTATATTCTGCATATCTTTTAAAAATTTCATTTTTCTGATAATGCTTTTAGTTTCCAGTAAAATATGAAAAAAAAAAAAAACCCAGGCTACCCGATTTTTGCTTCTGTCTTTACAAAAACTCAAAACATAAATAATAAAGGAATAATTAAAAACCCCAGTAGCAGGAATAAGTAGGTAAAATGGGGACAGAAATGGCTAAACAGTATTTTATAAATTTGAGAATAAGTAAAGTGACACAGTAATTCCAAGTGATTATCAACACAGGTGCTAATAGCAAGACAATTTATCAATTAATTGACAGGGTGAAGTAAAACATCTTCAGACAGTCAAGGACTGAAACAATATACTTAACAATATGTTTTCTCTAGAATCACATAGAGAATTTAGAAAGCCAAAACAAGGAGGATAATCATGAGAAAAATGACATGGGATCTAAGAAACAGGGGCTACAACACAGGACAGAGTAAAGGCCCAACATTTTTGCTATTCAAAAGGACCAGAAACGAGGCTGGGGTAAAGCAGGATAACCAAGAACTGCAGGAAATTTCCAAGAAGAAAAAGATCAGTTAAAAATTTAGACAAACTGGGCGTGGTGGTGCATGCCTGTAATCCCAGCACTTGGGAGGCTGAGGCAGGAGGATCACCATGAGTTCGAGGCCAGCCTAAACTACATAGCTAGTGAGACCCTGTTTCAAAAAACAAAATAACAAGAAAACTAGACAAGATCCTGTTGGGCATTTGACTGAAATATTAGAAAATCTGTGCACAGGTTTAGTCAAGCAGGTCTTTATTGTTGAGTATGTAGGTAACCATATAAGTAAAGTTGATTCTCTGTAAATATGGATTCTAAATTGGTAGATTCAACCAACCATGGCTAAAAATATGTTTTTAAAAAATTATGTCTGTAGTAAATATAGACTTTTGTCATTATTCCTTAAATAATACAGTAAAAGCATTTACACTGTATTAGGTATTATAACTAATCTCGTGATGATTTAAAACAGATGGCAGAATGTGCATAGGTTATATGCAATTATACCACTCAATATAATGGATTTACACATATGCAGAATTAAGTATCCACCAGGGTTCCTGCAATAAATCTCCCACAAATACTGAGGGATTACTCTCTGTGTGTGTGTGTGTGTGTGTGTGTGGGGGGGTGTGTGTGTGTGTCTGTGTGTGTATTTTCATCTGTAAAACAAATTTCCAAAAGTGAGATTGCCAAATCAAAGAGTAAATACATTTATTGGCCAAAAGTGTTAAACAAAAATATGGATCAACTATCCCCTCTCTTGTGAGTGAGGATGGGGCTCATTTTACATGTTTAACCTCTTGTAATTCATTTCCTGTAAGTTAATATTCATGTCATTTGCATATTTCTTTCTTGCTTTTTCTTCTATATGAGGGAGCCCTTTTTATAAATGGATATAACCCTATGTATAAGCTGCAAAACCTTCATTTCATTTATGACATCTTTTGCTATGGATATATTCTTTACTTTTTTATGTAGTTGAATTTACCAATGTCTTATAGCTTTGAGATTTCTGAATTACCGCTGTAGAAAGGTCTTCCTCACTACAGGGTTATAGAAGAATTTACCCACATTTTCTTCTAATGTTTATATGGTTTTACTTCTTTAAATTTCAAATTTTTGCTGGCATGCAGTATGAAGGTTATTTCAACTTTATCTTCTGTCTAATGGCTACCAGTTGTGCAAACATGATGTAAATTATTACCACAAGGAATAATACAAAGTCTACATATAAGATGTTACCATAGAATATAATATTGGCTCAGGAGTGAACAATATTTACATTGCCACTGCTTATTTAATTTTTAAAATTATGTTCTTATTTTAATGTGAAAATATAGTGAGGGAAAGCAGATGGCTAAAATCTGCTAAAGAATGCTAAATTCCTAACCCTTATAACAAGACAATAAACAATATATTAAATTTACAGATCTAAAGATAGTAGTACAGACAAGTTATTTACAAATCTAGAGCCAAATTATTAAAAGAATCTAGGTGTTGAAGAATTATTGCTGGACTTCAACCCAAGACGAAACAGACCTGATTTATTTTCCCATCTGAAATAATAACAAAAAAGACAAAATATATCACAGTTTCCAAAACAACAGACATTAGGCATTGAAGTCATAGAGATTATAAAAACTTTGTTAGTTATTTCCATACTGATAAGGATTATATATTTCACATTTACAAGGACTTACATTTTGTTCTGCAAACCACATATTTTATCCTTTTAAAAAATTACTTTATCAAGCTATAATTCACATATCATGTAATTATAAAAAAATCAATCTGGATCTTAAGCTCACACTCCTTATACAAAAATAAATTCCAAATGCACTAAAGATCTAAGACAAAAAGTAAAATAATAAAACTTTTAGAAGAAAATACAGGGAAATATCTTCATAATGTCAGCCTGTCATAATGTCAATGATTTTTAAACAGGACATGAAATGAATTAACCACAAAAACAGAAAAATGATAAGTTAGTAAGAATAAAAAGTAGTCTTTAAAAAACTGACTTAAAGAATAAGATAGGATTTGCTTTTTAAATAAAAGGCCATATAAATTATAGATAATTTAGTTTCGCTAAACAAAAATACTGTACATAAAATGACTGTGGACTTAAAATTTGTAATTAAAAATTGTATCAGTTTTCAATCAGAAGAAACAAACCACAGACAGAGTATTTAAACAGGAAAAATCTAAAGATTTATTCGCTGGGCAGTACATGCCTGTAATCAATCCCAGCACTTGGGAGGCTAAGGCGGGGTAATCTCCATAAATTTGAGGATAGTCTGAACCACAGAGCAAGATCCTGGTTTAAAAAAAAAAAAGATTTATTGGACTAGGGATGTTGTTCAGTGCTAGAGCACTTGATTAGCAATCACAAAGAACAACAAAAACAAAAGCCAAACCAAACTGAACCAAAAATAACTATAAGAGGGAATTAGAGTATTGAGGGATTAGGTAGTAAGAAATAAAAAGAATTCTACAGATAAAAGATTAGTAGGTATCAGAAGCAGCCATTATTCTTGGGTCATGACAGAGCACTAAATAAAGGAAGAGGCTCCTTCAGAGCTGAGAGGAAGAACTTGGAGAAGGCAATGCTCATGGTTCACTGAGCAATGGAAAAGCTTCTGTGGTGCTATCCTTGCAGACTTGCTGAAAATCCACCCTTCAGAACATGCTAGAAACATGCCCTTTGGGATGCCACCAAAACTGAGTAGATGGAGGTATGACGGGCGCACAGAGGAAGCATGCTATTGGCCATGGGAGCTGCTGACCAAACTTTAGCAATTGGGCATTGAGAAAGCCTCATCCATTGTCAGAGTCACACTGTTAAGCTACTTGGACTTCAAGAATCAGCACTCCAAATACCACCAACTAGCACACCAGACCAGCAGGAAAAAACTTTTGCAATATCACTTCATTGCCCTTCACTTTTAAAGTTTACATCCCACTATCTTTCAAGGAAAATATATAAAGATCCATTTTTGCAGAGCACATAATGAATGGTGAATATGGAGTTAACTGGTAACAAACTGATAACTAACACAATTATAAACCTATATTTTTACTTACCATGACTGGGCAAAACTATTGTTGACAGGGGTTCCCTAATCAACAAAGAATGGGTTTTTAAGATGCAATAGTGTAAACATCATATTATCTCCCTGGTGTGAGAAACTGAAAGAGTAAGTTCGTTCTAAAATATACAATAGATATTGTGAAATGGGAAGAAATTGTTCAAAAGGAAAAAGGAATTAAAGGGGAAGAACAATAGGAAAAAGGGAAAAAATACAAGTCAGTTATACTATTAGTATTTCTTAGTTCATTAAAAAGGTCTGTGCTAATATCAATAGAGAAATTTTTATGCCCATATCTTGTACTCTGAAAAACTACTTCAAAGATAACAATATGTATTAATTATTATTATTCACCTATTACTTTGTTATGAAATTTTATTTTACCTTTTTTCCATAAAATAAATTTAAAAAATAAAAAAAATAAAATCTAAAAAAAGATGATGCAATGTTTTTTCCCCATAATTTCTACAATTGGTTATATTGCTTTTATAATTTAAAATTGAAGTGTTAAAAGAATGAATGATAGAAAATAAAGGCTAAATTACTTTTATCAAGTAATTAGTTATTACTAACTACTTGATTAGTAGTTAGCTACTAATTTAGGTTAGCTACTCCCAGGAAATTCAATTAAAAGTTTCTTTTCTAGAAGTAAAAATTAGACATACATTCATACTCCACAGGATAGTATAAAATACTAAAGAAAAATATTTGCTAGAAGGGAATCCTGTTTGCATACAGATTTAAGGGATTTAAGAATGGTGCTTTTATATCTTCAAGCACATTCTTCTTATAATACAAATTACAGGCAAGATAGACAACACTCTAACGATTTCAAGATTTCCAAACAGGTTCAGTCATCTTTCAGTAAAAAAAGTATTGAAGTATGGAAACAATATGCAAGAAGGTAAATTTAAAAAAAAGAACTCTGAAAATACAGAAGGAAGATATTTGCCTCA